AATAGAGTCGTTAACTTTCTAGAGTAAAGATCACCGAAAACCTTTTGAGTCATTCTACATCTTATACCTCCTCCAACGCGCTCAAAAGTGATAGGGAGACCGCTTTTCTGATGGGCTTTTTTGCTTAGTGAATGAGGTGCTGTACATGACATTAACTAACGGCAAGTTACCTGCGCAGGTGAGCAGTAAGAAGGAATATCACAATTTAACATTTAGGCGCTCTATAAATGTAATATTGTTGTTACAGCTCCTTATCACATCTTCAAGACGTCTCCAAGCGCTTCACAGAATATACCCTAAAGCAAATTAACTGTATATTTTGTAGGCGAAACGCAGCAACCAATCGCACACAGCAGTACCTCGAAGATATGATAAGGTGATATATCAAATGCAACGATTATTATTCTCTCCCCTTCCATTCCTTCTCAACAACCTCCTCCGCACATTGGCCACCTACGTTCCCTTACAAGTTTTGCGGTGGATTCCATTCCCTTTCCAATCTCATATCAATGTAAATGTCTAATCGTATCTCACAGACTCCGAGAACTCTTCCAATGTAAAAAACCGAGTCATTCAGCCTTGATCTCTCTCCACTGTGACCTTCGATAAGACGGGGTAGATAAATGTAAGGGAGTGCGTATTGAACAGGAAATAGCAATATCGGAAACATGATAAGTCAATGCCTAATACGGTTGCACAGGTTAAGGTTTCCAAACATTGAAGGGAGTGGAGCGTCAGCTTGTTTTGGTCGGACTCAGGCGGAAACCCATCACTGTTGCTTAAGGGTATCCAAACCAAGCTGAGAATTCCCTGCATCCCACTTACACGTGGAAATCCCAGAGACAGATTGTTGGAATGGAATACGCTCTCTCTCTCTCTCCCTGGAGGGACGCCCTCTGCTTACCTAATCCCGGAAAGTATTAGGCACAGAGTCAAGGCTTGGTGGGGGGGGGGGGAGCCCAGAGTTTGGGTTGGGGTAACTGCTGGTGTCTAACCAGCTAAAACCACACAGCTTGGCCATTGAGACCGCTGTCTGGCCAAGCTTTCCTGCTGCTTGTCCAGCTAGGACCACCGTCCCTGTTAGGGTTTTGGCTTGCAGGGTTAACAGGAGCTGAGTGGGAGGAATTCCTGCCTCAGTGACCATTAATAAATGTATTAATTATTAATAAATGTACACCTTTATTACTGCCCCAAGCAAGTGATAAGATAGGTAGATGATTTGCTCTTCATTGTAAATGCCAGAATTAGGGAAATTAGGGGAAGTAGATTTAAGATTAAGAGAGAGAGAGATCTGCAAGAAAATTTTCACTCAGCATCTCTCAAGGAACAGTGGAGATATTACAATACAAAATACAGTGTAAAATTACATTTACACAGATCCTTTCACATCAGGAGGACATCCCAAGGAGCTGGACAATCAGGGGTTTGGACCCAAGTGGGGTGGCGGTGAGGGTGGGGGGGTGGGACAGAGAACCAAGGAGGGTGGAGGTAAGAGGGTGATCGAAGGCAAGGTCGATGAGGACGCTCTTGAGATGTGGCTTGAAGGAGGCAAGGGAGGGAGCAAGGCGAAGCCAATGTGGGCAGAGGTTCCAGAAGGTGGGTGTAGAGAGGCTGAAAGCCCGACCACCGATGGTGTAGTGGGCAGGGCAGGGGACGTGGAGTGGAGCGGACTTGACGATATTGGAACAGAAGCCCAATGAATGTGTTCGTGTTGTAATGATAGCCTTTAGTAAGGATGCACATGAATATCTACTTCAGAATGCAGTTAGATTCCAGGAATAGATAGGATAAATAGGACTAAATGGTCTGCAGGCTTTGTCAGTGCTTAGCTACTAGCAAGAGAGGATAGGAATGTTAGGGCAATTGGCCAGGGATGAATGACAGAAATGTGAAGCTGCACAAAGCTTCAGAGGTTGGTATGATTTTTTTTCAGTGATTGCTCCAGAGTTTCCCCTAGAACTTTCCCATTTTAGGAAATTAAAGTAATAAAAAATAATAATAATCCTTGCATTTGATACAGCACCTCATCACGTCTTCAAGACATCTCAAAGCGCTTCACAGAATATACAGTAAAGTGAATTGACTGTATATTTTGTGGGTGAAATGCGGCAGCCAATTGAGCACACCAACGTCGCGCAAACAGTCATGGATTAAGTGACCAAATTATTTTAATTTATTTTGAAGGAATTATTACCCCAGAAAAGCGATCCACCAATCTACTAACAACCGGGTTCCTACTTATTGCTAGGTAAACAGAAGTGTGTGTGTGTGTGTGTGTGTGTGTGTGGAGTTAAGAAAACTTGTCCACAGTCACTTCAGTTTACAGTGCATTACGTGGAGAGCTTTAAGATATCTTAACAACGTGAGAAGGCGCTATATCAAATGCAAGGATTATTACTATTGTAAGATCTATAATTTCACTATTGAGTGCTGCTACAAACAGCTCACAAACACAATCCGCTGGATTAAACCCCAGTGTGGGAGGTGAAATGCCTGCAATTCATATGCACAAATAATTCACACGCCTTGTTACGACATTCAAGTGACAACAAAACCGGGCAGAAAGAATGTTTGCCCTCTCCACCCACGGTCACTAATTATTAGACAATGACAATTCCTGAATGGCCCCACGGCAACTAATGCATTCAGCTGTAATGCTTTCTGGGAATCTTGGAAGGGGGATGGCGGAGGGAATGACAGTACTTTGTACTGATGTCTCTGTGCAAACACAGAGCCAATGCGTTCCACATTGCACTGACATTTGCATAGCAAACGTACTTTAATAAGCTTCTTCTCCATCTTCCATAGGGGGTGGTAGGGTGGAATTTCCTGAAAGTAGATCTTATTTCTCTCTACTCAAAGCTACGCGTGAATAACCACTTCACAGAATATACTAGAAAGGGAATTGACTGTATATTTTGTGGGCGACGCGCGGCAGCCAATTGCGCACAGCAGTGTGCCACAAACAGTCGTGGATTGAGTGACCCAATTTTATTTTTGGAGGGATTATTATCCCCGGAAAAAGCGATCCGCCAATCAACTAACAACCAGGCTAGGTAACTTACTGCTAGGTGTGTTGAATAAGGAAACTTGCCTACGGTTTTGTTCCGCCCGGGAATCAAACCCAGGTCCTCTCGATTTCCGGGCGAGGCAAAGAAGGGGGAAAAAAGACAGAGAATAAGAGTCATGTTTTACAACAATCTGCATTTACTAGCAGATTATTATTTGTTATGCGCTGATTGTTCCTGTTTATATCACTGCGGCCAATGGAGGACAGTGCGCACAATGAGGTTTTTACTTGAGGTGCAAAGAATATTGGCATCCAACCCTGACAGCATTCCAGAACAAAATTCCTCTACTACCGCTTAGTGGAGGGCTGAGATTCACAGAAGGTACAGCTCAGGAGTAGGCCGTTCGATCCACAAAATACACAGTCGATTCGCTTTACAGTATGTTCGGCGAAGCGCTTTGAGACACCTCAACGACACAATAAGACGCTGTGTTATATCAGAGCAATCGGATTTGATTTTCTGGGCTGGGTGAAACCTCAGGCAAGTTTCCTCGCTCCACATACCTCTGTTTACTTAGCAGTAAGTCTGTTGGCAATCGCTTTCCGGAGGTAAAAAAAATCTCTTCAAAAATAATAATAATTGGGGCACTCAATCCACAACTGTTTGTGGGACACTGCTGTGCACAATTGGTCTCCGCATTTCGCTCACAAAAAAACAGTCACCTCATTTTACAGTGTAATCCACAAAGCGCTTTGAGACGTCTCTCAACGACATGATAAAGCGCTATGCCAAATAAATACAAGGATGATGAGTATTATTGTAAAATAAAAACTCAAACTTCAACCTGCAGAGTGGAAAATCTCCCTTCTCCGACATCGAACAGTAGCACTTGGAATTTTGCAGGAAGCTATCCCAAGGAGAATGGCACAGTTGCTATCATTCGCTAACAATAACACTTGGCTATCGTTCCTCGCATGGGATCGTGTGTTTCAGGAAGGCAGTCTTTGCCTTTCTAGGTCACTGCATCAACAACCTGCCCCTACACTTCATTAAAGTGGGACAGGATTCCCATCTGACTCGCGTAACTGATTTAAAGACAGTTTAAAGACACCCTCGTCCTACATAGAATCAAGTACACGGCAGGAGGACCTGCAAGACGGGGGCCGAGCATTTGATTCTTCAATTAACTTCCTCACCACAATTCAAATATTCCAAGGTTATCACCTTTATTAATTTATATTCTTCCTCCTTATCCCACTTGAACATTGGCTCCTCTCTGCTTGTCTTTCTTTACACCAACTTTGCGCATATATGTGTGTGTATATATATATATACACACACACACATTGTACATACATATAGCTCCCTTCAAGCAAGATTGAATCCCAGAGCGCTTTAAGGGCTACTTTAAAAAACGATCTCTTCAACCGCGGCTATGGGCACTCCACCTACTCCCCCTACCCCGTGTCTGCTTAAATCACTCTCGAGATGTTATCAAACAAGATGCCGCTATATCAATGCAAAGTAGTGTATTGTTGTTGCCACTTTGTCTGCTGTAACGCTGTAAAGAATTGGCCTTGAGACGGCTTCAGCTTGAAATCACTCACACACAACAAAATTACGTTTGTATAGCGCCTTTCACGTCGGGAGGATGTCCTAACACAGACATTCAGTGGAGTCCTGATAGCGTAATGGTTAGCTCGCTTGTCTCGCAAGCGAGAGGTCCCGAGTTCAATTCCCAGGCACGGGTGAAACATTAGGCAAATCTCCGTCCTCCGCACACATCTGCTTACCTAGCAGTACTTTACAGTTTACCTAGCACTTTACAGTTCATCCTGTGAAGCACTTTGAGACGACGTGTTAAGGCACTCTATCAAATGCCAGGATTATTATTATTGTTCTAATGGTTTTGGCGGGCGCGAGAGAGCACGAGGGGCAGATCTTTACTTTGAGTCATCGCAAAAGGCTCTCGATAAACAGGATGCATACCTCAATTCAGAGTGAAGTCTTCCTCTCTCAGAACCAGACTCGACACCTCACATCCTGTTAAGATCCAGAACAGTCATTTGATTACCGGTCTAACTACTCGGTGCATTAACCCCGTCAACTTCGTAACAACAACAATAAATTACAGACGATTTAGAGTCCGACAGCTCATGAAACTTTTTCTCTTATTAATGTTAACGACCCGCGCATTTGCTGCGGTGCCTTATCACGTTTTCGACAAAGCGCTTCACGGAAGATACTACACAATCGGTGACACTCATCGATGATCTCCCCACCGGAGATTACTCTACCTCTCTCTCCCCTCCACCCCCAAACCCACTTATATCATCTCATTTCCAGTCTCACCTCTCTTCTCTCTCTCTCTCTCTCTCTCTCTGCTCTGTGACCCGCTGGTCATTATGGATTGTGACGCGTATCCCGATCACAAACCACTGTTACGATGACATCGCTTCACCACAACGCCCACCAATTAGGGCGTTTCCAACAACTCCTCGTCCTGTGCGCGGGTGTGCGCGGGCGCGGGCGACAGGCACGACCGGCCCCCCGCGTGCCGCGCTTCCGTTCGCGTGGGCTCGCGTGGGCGTGAATGGCGCTATATAAATGCAAGTCGTTGTTGGGGGCTCTCCCTCAGCCTCACTGACCCCCGGTGCACAATCTCGGCGTCCGGTTCAACCCCCAGCTGTCCTCCCTCCCCGTACGTTTTGTCGGTCCCTGACCAGGACCGCCTTCTTCTACCGCCGCCACATTGCCCGCCGCCGAACGTACCTTACCCCCCACCCGCCCGCCCGCCCGCGCCCACCACCCACAAATGCGGCCGAAACTCTCTCGTCACCTCCCGGTCACTCCAACCCACTCCCCGGCTCCGCTATTCGCAAGATCCAGCTCATCCGGAACCTCTGCCGCCCGCGATGCCAACCCCGACCAAACTCCGGACCCCGCGCCCGGGGCAGTCCTGGCTCCCCGTCGCCGAACGGGTCGACTTCGAGACCCTCTCCCGCACGTGTTCCGAGTCCCCCCCCGTTCCCTCCCTCCCTCCCCGACCTCCTCACTCGCCCCAATCCACCGCACCTGGTCAGCGCCCCTCTCTGCTCGTCCCCTCCCGCCCTCCGCCCCCCAGACCATCGGAGGTCGAGCTTTCTGCCACCGCCCCCTGTGTTTGTGTGTGCGACACCGTACCCCCCCCCCCCCCCCCCGTGTGCACGTGTGTCACACTGTCCCCGAATGTGTGTGTGAGCGAGTGTGTCCCGTGTGTCTGTGACACACTCACTCTCATACACTCACTCTCTCTCACTCACTCCCTCGCTCTCTGTCACTCATTGTCACTCACTGTCACACTCACACACTCTGTCACACTCTCTCTCACTATCACTCTCTCACACTTCCCTCTTTCACTTCTCTCTCTCACTATCACTCTCTCACTATCACTCTCTCACTATCTTTCTCTCACTATCACTCTCTCTCACTCTCTCACTATCACTCTCTCACTATCACTCTCTCACTATCACTCTCTCACTCTCTCACTCTCTTTCACTATCACAATCTCTCTCTCACTATCACTCTCTCTCTCACTATCACTCTCTCTCACTCTCTCACTATCACTCTCTCACTCTCTCACTATCACTCTCTCACTATCACTCTCTCACTATCACTCACTATCACTCTCTCACTATCACTCTCTCACTATCACTCTCTCACTATCACTCACTATCACTCTCTCTCACACTCTCTCTCTCACTATCTCACTCTCTCACTATCACTCTCTCACTATCACTCACTCTCTCTCTCACTATCACTCACTATCACTCTCTCTCACACTCTCTCTCTCACTATCTCACTCTCTCACTATCACTCTCTCACTATCTCTCTCTCACTATCTCTCTCTCATTATCACTCACTATCACTATCACTCTCTCACTATCACTCTCTCACTATCACTCACTCTCTCTCTCACTATCACTCACTATCACTTTCTCTCTCTCTCACTATCTCTCTCTCTCACTATCACTCTCTCACTATCACTGTCTCACTATCACTCTCTCACTATCACTCACTATCACTCTGTCTCACTATCACTCTCTCTCACACTCTCTCTCAATCTCTCTCTCTCACTATCACTCACTATCACTATCACTCTCACACACACACACACACACACAGAGAGAGAGAGAGAGACGACAAACAACGGCAATACCCCCAACGGCAGTAATGACGGAGCATTAAAAAAAAAACCGCAGAGAATTAATCACAATAACGACAACAACGACGACAATCACCTCGCGGTGTCTTCCCGCCGCCGCCGCTCCCGCCTCGCGCTCTCCCCCCACTGTGTACACACATTCCCGGTGACGCGCCGCCAACGTGCGCTCACGTCACGCGGAAGCCGCGCTGACACTCGGCACGTGACCGGGGGGGAGGAGGGAGAAGGAGGGGGCGGGGCCAGCGCCACACGTGACCCCCCCCCCCCCCACAGCTGGTGTCAAAATACTCAATGGGGTGGAAATGTGTGTGTGTACAGTGACGCCCTCTGTTGGTCACAGTGGAGAACTGCAGCTATGTGTGTGTGGTCAATGGTAACAACAGCAGCAAATAATGACAATAAAAATAATAATAATAATAATAATGATGATCCTTCCATTTGATACAGCGCCTGATCTTGTTTGAACCCCCCACCCCCACCCCCCCCCCCCCCCCCCCCCCCCTACCCCCCCACCCCCACCCCTACGCCCCCCACCCCGGCTCGGGTACGAACCTCTTGACCTGTCCGACGTGCCCTCGAGGTGTCCTCCCGGCGTGAAAGGCGCCGTCCTCGTGCCGTTGTCTCAAAGCGCGTGACGGAGAGCGAGTTGACGGCACGTTTTGTTGGGGCGAAACGCGGCCGCCGAGAGCGACCCCCCCCCCCCCGACACGTCTCACGACCGCTTTACCCAACCCGCGACCTTCTGACTGTGGAGTACTCTGAGTGTGAGTCGCACACTGTCCCGCTGTAGGGCAGTGGAATGTCTATCGTACAGATATCACTCCTTGCGTTTGATACAGTGCCTTAACACGTCCTCGGGAAGGCCTCAAAGAGCTGCTTCACAGGATACCACTGTAGAGTGGAGTGACTGTGTAAAACTGGATGACGATCAGGTCATACATTCAAGGTGACAGGGAAAGCGATTGCTTCTTAAACTCATGGGGCGGCAAGCGGGCGAGAGTGTGGATGTTTTGGGTCATCGGGTCCTAACCCAATGATCGTCCTGTCTGTCACGCTCACCCCTTTTATTTTCTACACCCGTCTGTTGTTTAAATATATTGAGTCGCACTTTTTAATGAACAAAAAAATTATGTGGTTATACTTATGGTGCCATTAGGGCTGATTCTCGCGTCAATTGCACAATTTGGTGGGGCAACAGACTATCTATAATTTGCCTAAGTGGATAGGAAGGGTCACTGTTTCCCTATTGGGACACTTAATGAATGATTTTGTTGGCACCCGAAGAAAGGTACCAATTACATCAAGTAATTGGTGTTATACAATTAATATTGGGCACCCTCATTGACCATAAAATAATGAGCGCCATGTTGCTCAGGGTCACTATTTTTCTACGTGATGACAACAAAGGTACGTCCTCTGACTATTGATAAGTCGTAGTCAGGGTTTGGTTCTTCATGCACTTTACATTTACTTCATTAGAAGTGGCTGCTGGTGTGTGTAGTTTAAGTGTGATTCATGTTTGTGATCTCTTAGTTGTATTAATCGATATTTACGGTGTTGTTTAAGATTTAATGCCGAGGGTTGTGGATTTCATCGAAGTTATAATAAAATTCCACTGAGCTAACTTAACCGTGCTTAACACAGGCTTTCTGTGGAAATCAAAGGAGGAGGGAAGAGACAAACGCGTTCAGCCTCGGTCGTGGCGATGTAAAATAAGCCTCTGAATGACTGAAGCCTCCCAATTTGAGTTAAATAGCAATTTAAGTCACACCTAGTTATAGAAACTTGCACTCATTAGTGAGGATTAAACACGGAGGCCACCCAGCAGACGGCGAGGGAGAGCGAGCCATATCGTGGGTGTACACACAAGGGTGTGAGAAGTCCTTGAGGTGACAGTGAGGTGAGAGAGCGACGTCTCCTGCCGTAGCTGGTGGGAATCACAGGGGTCTTTGTGGGGATATGGCTTCTTTGCCTTGGCTCTCTCCTCTCTCTCGCTCTCTCTCTCTCTCTCTCTCTCTCTCGCGGAAGGGTACAGCCTGTCGGCCAGGTTCGGGCTCCGGCACAGATCGTCATCTGCCCTCTCTCAATAACAACTTGGCAAAACATAATCAGAAGTGAAAGCGCTGTGTTTTATTTTAGGATCTCTTTCAGATCTCTCTCTCTCTCTCTCTCTCTTTCTCCAGAGTGAAAACAAATGAACTCCCTATCATCACACAGTGCTATTCTTTACGCAAAAACATCAGATTTAAATATCAACACACACACACACATATATATACATATATATATATTAAAAAGGTGTATAAAACAGTTAACACAACATCAACAGGTAAATACGAACGTCTACATTCAGTGCAATTCAACGGCGATCCTTCTAACTCAGGGCGGTCCAACCGGTGGCCTTCGGGAGGCATTGGGTTCTCGGGCCCATTTTAGCCCTCCCCCCCCCCCACCCCCCCCCCCCATTTCATCTGGCCCACCCGCTCCGAAACACTAAAATATTCCTTGTTCGGCCCACCCAGGAACGTTTCTCAAACAGGGCATCCGGCCCTCAGCAGCCAAAAAGGTTGGACACCGCCCCCCCACCCCACTACACCCCCCACACCCCCCACCCCACCCCACCACCGCTTTAATCTATCGCTTCTCGTATTCTTCAAGTATTATTTTGTCCGCTGAAAGTTTCAGTGCAAAGATGCTGTGTTTCCAACCCCCCACCCCACCCACCCCCAGGCCCCCACCCATCCCACCCCGGCCCACCCCTCCCGCCCCCCCACGCGCTTTCGAGGCAAACAAACCCACTCAAAAAAAAAAAAAGAGACTCTCCTCCCGTCCCTCCACCTCGCCCCCTCCTTAGATCACGACTGGAGACCTTCCCCTTTGACCGTGCTTACAGTCACCCCCTCCCTCCCTCCCTCCCTCCCTCTGTCTCGGCATCAGGTTCCGCCACTGTTAAGCGCTCCAGGACGCCGCCCTGCGTGAAGGGCGCTCTATAAATGCAAGTTATTGTTGTTCAAACGCAGAGGGGAATGTTCAACGGGTTTCCTGCTCAAAAAACAGTTCGAAATATAAGTGTCAAATTCCGTATCAGAAGGAAAAGACAGAAATATAGCTGTCCCGATGTTGATTCATTTATTCCCCACGCTCTTTTTAAGGAACGTAGGAACATAGGAATTAGGAGCAGGAGAAGGCCATTCGGCCCCTCGAGCCGGCCCCGCCATTCAATAAGATCATGGCTGATCTTCTAACGTAACTCCATCTGCCGGCCTTATCCCCATATCCCTTAATTGCTCTATCCTTTAGAAATCTATCAATCTCAGTCTTGTATATGGTCAAGGACTGACTGACTGAGCATCTACACCCTCTTGGGGTAGGGAATTCCATAAATTCACTACCCTCTGAGTGAAGAAATCTTTCCTCAACTCTGTTCGAAAAGCCTCTCCCTTAATCTTAAGACTGTGACGCCTCGGTCTAGATCCTCCTACCGGGGGAAACGATCTCACAGTACCTACTCTGTCAAGAATCTTATATGTTTCTGTAAGATCGCCCCTAATTCTATATTCCAGAGAACATAGGCCTAGTTTACTCAACCTCTCCTCATGGGTCAACCCCTTCACCCTAGGAAGTGACCCAATGAATCTACGCTGCACCCCCTCTAAGGCGAGTATGTCCTTCCTTAAATAAGGAGACCAAAACTGCACGCGATACTCTCGGTGCGGTCTCACCAATGCCTTATACAGTTGCAGCAAAACTTCCCTCCTCTTGTACTCTATCCCTTTTGCAATAAATGCCAACACGCCATTAGCCTTCCTAGTCGCTTGCTGTACCCGCGTCCTAACTTTTTGTGACTGGTGTCACAAGGACACCCAAATCCCTCTGAACGCTATACTATCTAGCAGCCTTTTTACCGCGGACGCCTTCTGAAAATCTAAATATATTACATCTTCTGGTTCCCCCCCCCCCTATCTAACCTGCTAGTTACATCCTCAAAAAACTCTAAAAGATTTGTTAAGCATGACTTCCCAGGTTGACTCTGCCTAATCATGTTATGGTCTTCTAAGTACCCCCACTACGACATCCCACATTAAGGATTCTACCATTTTTCCCTACCACCGATGTCAGACTGACCGCTCTATAGTTTCCCCATCATCTCTCTCCCATCCTTCTTAAACAGTGGTGGTAATACGTTTGCGATCCTTCAATCAGTGGGGAACCGTTCCAGAATCCGGAGAACTTGTCATTTCTCAATCCCAACAGTTTCCTCTCCTACTGATACTCCACTGATGTTAATTTCCCGAAGTTGCTCACGAACATTAGCTTCTTGGTTCCCCTCGAATTTTGGTTAAGTTGAAGGCAGAAGCAAAGTAATTGTTCAATGACTCTGCCGTATCTTCATCCCCCAAGGAAAACAGTGTCAAGATCTTGAGTGGAGAAGACAATAATAGTTACAATCCAATGATAATCCTTCCATTTGGACGCAGCACCTCACCACGCCGTCGAGACGTCTCAGAGCGCTTTGCACTTGACGCGTCCGCTTGTCGTGTCACCGGAAACGCATCGAAGCGTTTACTGTGTGGGGTTTTTAAGGGGATTCGGGAGGAATTGCGTGTCTGAACACCGGCTCTGTGACCGGTTTGCAAATGAGCGGTCGGAAGGGAGGAGACGTGCTGATGTCCACCAGGGGGCTGAGTGACTCCACTCAAACATCAGTGGACCGAGCCCTCAGACTGGTCTGGAAAGCCTTCCAACCCTTCTGATCTCATCCCTCCAGCCCCACCCACTCTACCTTCATCCCACCACGGCATCGAGCTGCTATTTAAACGAGTCCCGGTGTCCTGGCCTCAACCACCTTTCCCGGGGCGAGTTTTTCCAGTCGTTGGGTCACCTTCTGAGCAACGAAAAGGCATCTCGAAGCGCTTCACAAGATATACGCTTCGCGCACACACACACACACACGCGCACACACACACCCCAGCGCTGCGTTGGAGCATCAGCTTAGACGATGCGATTCCGAGGGCTCGAACCCACGCTCCGACTCAGAGGGCGAGAGCGCTACCACTGAGCCGGGCTGACACCCGGATTCCGCTCCGTCCCGAGGTCGACCCCCTTT